GGCCCCGGGAATTGAACCTGTGACCTGTGTATTCGTAGGCAGTTGGTAGGCCTGTCGTAGGTCCATAGGCAGCAGGGGTTCGATCTGTAGGTCTATAGCGTAGGAGTCTTAGTGAGTTCCGGAAGCTTAGCTGTAGACCTTCTAGAAGGTAGGCAAGTGGGCAAGTGGTCAAGTGGTGAGGCAAGTGGTGGACTAAACCGCAGTGCAACCGCAGTACAACGTCGGTAGGATAGCGGTGAGTCCACAGTCAGTCAGCCGAAGGTCCAGTCAGTCCCAGTCCGGTCCAGCAAGTACCACAGGGGGACTGTGAGCACCAAGGGCCGATGGCAAAGGGCAGACCAACGAGTTTCTGAAGTATAAATCAAGAGGCAGCGCCCAGCCATTCATTCATTCCTGCGTGAGCCATGCGGAAGCGCTGCCACAGCGACTTGTGCAAGGAGGTCTGCAGATGAGCCCGGAGGACGCAGTGGGCAAGAGAGAAGAGGGAGTTAGTCTAGCGATAGGTTAGATGCAAGGAAAGCTGCCATAGCTGTAGTTAGTAGTGAGTGTCTGTGTGTGTTCGAGTGTTAGAGTGATGCGTGTGGGATATCCAGGGTGATCCAGTGTATGTGAACAGTGAGATGTTTGGACGCTGAAGTCGCCATAGCTAATTGAGAGTGAACTCGTATCTGAAAGCCATATCTCTGAGTTTTGAGTGGGCACATGTCGCCAGTATGCTGCGTTGCTGTTTACATGCATGAAAAATGTGTTTGAGAACGAGTCTGATTGCATACCCCTGCACTTTTGGGGTATCTGACGAAATACCCCAACTTTTAGGGGCATTTGAACAATTTTTCCTAATAATAATAATAATAATAAGTAGAGAATCTAAAGATGGAGATATATATCAGATAGTACTATATATAGGGTTCGCCTCCTGATGATTCGGTGAAACTCCAACAAAACAGTTTGTCACAGCCCCTTGTTTGTTGCCCTCTTCTATGTCTCTGCCAACGGTTTACTGGGCAGTTCTGTTTGACAATACATATATGTGATATGTATCTGAGTCAGTGAAACTCCGACGAAACAGTTTGTTACAGCCCCTCCCTTGTTTGTTGTCACTGTCTCCCTCTCTGCCTACAGTTTACCGGGCGCTTCTGTTTGACTATATATATTGTCAAACAGAGCTGCCCAGCAAACCGTAGGCAGAGAGGGAGGAAGACAACAAACGAGTATACATATCATATACGTACATTTGTATATATATATATCGTCACAAACAGAACTGCCCGATAAACTGTAGGCAGAGAGAGAGAAGAGGACAACAAACGAGGGGCTGTGACAAACTGTTTCGTCGGAGTTTCACCGACTATATATATATACAAACAGAGCTGCCTGGTAAGCCATAGGCAGAGAGGGAGACGATGAAAATAAACGAGGGGCTGTGGCAACCTTGCCACGTCGCACAGTTGCGGGAATGAGCCCCTTGCAAGGGCCCCAAAGGCCTGTGCCCGCGCCCCAGGATATCCAGCGGGCCTCCAGGGCTGCGGGGGTGAATTTTCTCAAAGCCTGTGGGCGCTGGCCGTGATCTGAAGGTGTGCGACCAGGCCCTGATTCGGGAGGCCGAAGGTTGAGAGGCCACCGGATCACGCAAATGCCGCTCGCCAATGGCATTGTGGCAAACACCTCATGCCACATCGCACAGTTGGACGTCGCCAACTGTTGGGCCCAGGGCACATCTGGAAAAGGGCCCTGGGTGCAAATCCGCGGCCAGGACAGGAAGCTACTGGGCACCCAACCTCGCCAGGCACTTTGTACAAAAGAAAGTGCTGGTCGCCAGCCCAGACATTTGGCTGGCCAGAGGCAATGCGGCAGCGCTGCTTCAGTGTGCGCTTGCTAAGAGCTGGCCGGCCATGGGAGGCCCAGACCGGCGCTGGTGGAGCTCTGTTCGTAGCAGCGCTGGAGAGCTGCCATTGCCGGGCAACAAAAGAAAGTCCTGGTTGCCAGCCCATACGTTTGGCTGGCCGGAGGCAATGCGGCAGCGCTGCTTCAGCGTGTGCTTGCTAAGAGCTGGTTGGCCATGGGAGGCGCACACAGGCGCTGGTGGAGTGCTGTTCGTAGCACCACTGGAGAGCTGCCATTGCCGGGCAGCTTCTCCTTGTTGCCGGTGGTGGCGATGGTGCTCCTGGGCAAGGGAGAGAGACTGTGGGGGTCGAGGTGGTGAGAAAGACAGAGAGAAGAGACACATACCTGATGTGTATGTGGCGGTCTGCGTGGGCGACTTCGTCATGTACATTGGTCGTCCACTGCAGTGTTTTCTGGCTGCATTGTCATAGCTGTAGGCTAGCATAGGTACCGAGTAGTAGTAGGCTGGGGGCTGAGCGCCAATCGAGAAGAGCGACATCGAGTACAATGTTGATGGCAGTGAGTTGGGGCTGACATCGACATTTGGGTTCATTGCATTGCTCTTATTTGGCTTGTATCTCGGTGCATGCTACTTTCTGCTTGGTACACGACTATCTGGTCTTCAATGTGATGATGCAATTTGGTTTTCTGTCTATCGCTCTCGCTCATTTTCCTTGCAATATGATGATACATGTATAATAATCACAAAGACCGCCTGTGACAACAAACGTAGGCAGAGGGGCCTGTGATAGACTGTTTCATCGGAGTTTCACTACTCACAAAGACTGCCTGTCACAAGAAACGTAGGCAGGGGCCTGTGACAGACTATTTCATCGGAGTTTCACTGCCCGATGATGATACTTATTGTAAGGGTGTTGGGGAAAAAAAAAGAAAAAAAAAAAAGGACAACCTACCTTGACCCCGGTTGCAGTTGAGTACCAACTATTGCTCTACAACTGATGATACCCTGAGGTGGGCATATATCAAATTAATTTACCTATATGGTTGGCCTGTGGCTCAGTGGTTAGGGCACCGGTAGTCAATGCGCATTGTGATCTGAGGTTGCGGGTTCAAAACTCTCTGCACAGAGACAGCGGCAGGCGTTTACATAACGCACAGTCACTTGCATACCCGCTTGGCCTGACGCAGGTAAGCTATTACAAACACTGCCTGCGCACCACCCAAGGGGTCGTCCATGGTGTTGAATGTTGGGCCTAGACTCCGATTGGTTTGCTTGCACACTTGGTCCATGGGGTTGTCTGGATGCTTGCACACTTGTCCCTTACTCGAGCTTACCGTCGCACACACTCAGACCATTCGAGACTGTAGCTCGGTACAGTGGTCACTGGTAAGCATGAGGTTCGGGGTTCGAGGTTTGATACCGAAAAAATGAGTTCACGAATGAACATTCTGGGAATGCAGACTAGGGTTGTGGGCAGTAGATCACGTGGTATTGGTTACCTTAGGGCTCAGCTTTCAGGGGGCATGGGTTGTAGGTGGTATTGATCGGGGACTCCACTGGGGGGAGTGTTGGTTGGACACTATCCCTACTGGAGGGTTGGGGCCCCTGCAGTAGTGGATGCCTTAGGGGTCCTCTGGGTTGACGTAGAGCTGGGATAGCCCCCAGTAGAGGATATCGTTGGGGAACCTGCATTAGAGGCTGTCTTAGGGGGGTGAAGGGGGGGGTGATGGTTGGTCTGTTACCTGCATGGAGAATACTGTCAGATTTGAATAGCCCAGAGTGCCTCCCATTGATGAAAGAGGTTGCGGGAGGAGATGGTGGCCGTGAACCTGCTGAGGACGGAAACTGGAGTTACTCTGGGGGATGCTAATAGAATGCCTAGACATCTAGTTGACGATAGGGGTATGGGGAGCGGATGGTGGCCGTAACCCTACTGAGGACGGAAACTGGAGATGCTCTAGGTTCGAATAACCTCTGCAAGAATTCAAAGAAAAACAAGTGGGATCTAAAGATGATAAGGCTAGGATCTCTCTGAAAAAACAGGAAAACTAGGGTTCGCCTACAGGACTTGTAGTGGCATGCTTACCCCTAGCGCTCGAAGTGCCCGGTACAACGTGGCTCGTTCGATAGTGCTTCAATCAGGGCTGGGAAGGGAGGTGAGAACCTGCTTAGCCCTGATGCCTATAACCGCTGTCCGGTAAAAAAGATCACTAGAATGTTAGTGGTGATGATCCTGGGTATACTCAGGTAGGACCTTGGGAGTAGGGATGCGCTGGGGATGGTGATGATGAGTAAGGGTGGGAGGGTGTCTCATAGGGGACCAGTTAGGCAATACATCGGGATGATCAAATGGTCAGGTGCTGGCAGGCATGTCATATGCCTAGTAGCCGGCCGCTACAACAACCTAGACTTTTATAAGAAAAGAGAGGAGGGGGGGGGGGGAACGATGAAAAAAGACTTGGAGAAGAGAAGCAGGAAGATACTAGGGGTGCGAATGGACGAAGGTGTGAAAGTTAGGTTGGCAGGAACAAGGAAGAAGAGGTTGAGGGCCACCCAAGCAGTAGAAAGAAGAGTATGCTGGTGAAGGAGAAGGCAAAGGAGAAGAAGTAAAATAGAGGGAGGTATTGTCAATGGATGAGGACTGACAAAAAAAAAACAAAAAAAAAAGGACTGCACAAGGAGACGGGGCCATAAGGCTGCCTTATAAAATTCAAAAAGAAACAACACAAACACACACACACACACACACACACACACAAACAAAACAAAAAAGAAAAAAAAGGACAGGACGAGGCGAAGGGTTCATGAGGTTCCAGCAATTCACAAAAAACTTGAAAAAAGAAAGGAAAAAAAAAGGTTTCAGCAATTCAAAAAAAGGAACCAACGGGCCTAGCTCAGTTGGTACACCCACGAACTGTTGAAATACAGACCCAAAGTTCGAATCCAGATACAATCAGATGACCAGAGTAAAATCATTCTGAATTACATGGGGCTGGTCAGTTCAATGATGATATCTCAAGGCCGTCGCCCTTTTCTTTTTTTTTTTTTCTTTTTT